GTGGCGGCAGAGGTGGTTTCGTCATCGTGACGACACCATTTCACCCGCGGACCACGCGACACGCAGGAGACTCAAGTAAGGTTATGCATTTCAGCCCTTTTGGAATATCCTATTGCGTTTCTCATTCTATAAACTGCAATTCTACACATCGTGTTTTTTTTATAGCAAATACATGGAACAAACTTCTTAATACCCTCGCTGTCGCCTTGGACGAAATATTAAAGGACTTTTATGAGGTAAGACCCTAAAATCTTCTTTATATTTTGTTCGGGATAATAGAATACACAAACAAACACACATTATAAGAAGTGCAAACACTAACATGATGCAAAGAATTTTTTTACGTGGTCTATCCAAACACACTAACTTCCATAATCCCTAGACATCAATTATCTTCGCAAATGATTAATATAATCAATATAACCGATACAAGCAATACTAGTTTCGCATGGACGAAACTTGAAAACCCTCGCACAACTCACATCTCTCAAAGATCCCGAGATCACCGATCACTCAAGAGTTCTGATAGGCCATCATCTTACCACATATATAACTCAAAAAACCTGATAATATTGATCGCTTAAGAGTTCTAAGAGGACCCCCCTCTCACTAAGAGGATAACTTTCACCAATACTAGCACATCCTTTTTTATAACCGCTTCCTATGTTATTTCCGAGGGTCAATTAATGCTTTTGGTAACCTTCAAGATTCCAGTGCAGGTATTATTTTAACTTTCATGATAAACATGAATTCCTCTATCTTATTTTCAGATTTGGGGTGAACCCCAACATTCATTAGGCCCGAAAACTCTTAATATTTTTAAACAATTAAGATCTCAAATTCCTCTAAATTGTGTTAAGAAGAACCCCATGGATGAATTTCCATCCAAAATGAAACACTAATAAAGAACGAGTATGGAGAACTTTGGCTGATAAATGATGATAAAATGGTAAAGTAACTTAAGCATAAAATATAGCATAAGGGAATATTCACTTCTACAAATTTTGAATATATGAACAATATATAATCATGCACTAGGTAACATTGATGAGTGAGCATTTACGTCTCGTTTGGTACGCAGGAATGAGGTGGAATGGAATGACCATTCCCACTTCTCATTCCCCCATACCAAACTTAACCATTTTCTAGAAGTTGGAATGTCTATTCCCACGAATGCTTATTCCCACTTTTTGTGGGAATGTGCATTCCAAGTGAATTAATAAGGAATGATCATTCGCATTCAAGTGAGAATCAAATTAGTTACGTAATTTCAAATTATACCCTCATTGATTATGATATGGGTGATTTTGATAACTTATCTGGATTGTGGATATCATTCTTTATATTATTTTTGGACCTATGAAAGATGTGATACTCTTTTATTTATTTATTCTTATTTTTTTAAGACTAGGAAATAGTGAGTATGTTTAAAAAATATATAAACGGAGCATACACACCTAAGAGATAACTTGTGCATTAATATAACACATAGATAGATTAATATAAACCTAAGCATAAATAAAATTGTTTAGTTATTATCATGGACAAATTTTGAAAATCGACTTTTTTTTAAATTTAATAGGCAAAATCGACCGTGTAATAATAAAATGAGCAAAATCGACCCTTTTTTGCACGGGACTGCTAGTCCCGTGCAAAAAAGGTCGCTTCCGCAAAAAAAATTCTCCGGTCCTCAACCCATCCCCTCATTCCCTCTCTCTCTCTCTCTCCCCTTCATTAACCCATCCCTCATCTCCGTTCCCTCTCTCTCTGCAAAAAAAATTCTCCGGTCCTCCAATACCACACCAGACCCCTCTCTCATCTCCGTTCCCTCTCTCCATCTCTCCTCCCTCTCCCTCAAACCCAACAGCAACCCATCACCCCTTCTCTCTCTCCTCCATTCCCCAAACGCCCCTCCTCCATCGCCATCGGGCCGCCCAAGCCGCGCCCACCTCCTCGACCTACACCCGACCACCTCCCTGAGCCCAAGCTCCGACCCGAGCCCCCCTCTCCCTCCAATCCCCTTCTCCACCGCCTCCTCATCATCTCCACCACCATCAGCCCCGACGCCGCCGTGAACTCAACTCCACCTCCTCCGCCAGCTCGCCGCCGCCGCTGTCCTCCGTTCCCCTCAGCCCCGACCATGCTACCACCCGCCGCCACGTCGAGCCGCGCCACCACCCAAGCCCTCCCCCGCTGTCCAGTGAAGGTGTCGGTGCTGGTGGTGCAGCAGTGCAGGGGGATTTGGGAGGAGAGTGTTGGGGGGATTTGGGGGAGGAGGGTTGATTTTGATTTTTTTAGCAGGATCGTCTTTTTTTTGGTGTGGGATTGGAGGAGAGGGAGAGAGAGATGGAGAGGGGATGGGTTAATGAAGGAGAGAGAGAGAGAGGGAATGAGGGGATGGGTTGAGGACCGGAGAATTTTTTTTGCGGAAGCGACCTTTTTTGCACGGGACTAACAGTCCCGTGCAAAAAAGGGTCGATTTTGCTCATTTTATTGTTATACGGTCGATTTTGCCTATTAAATTTAAAAAAAAGTCGATTTTCAAAATTTGTCCTATTATCATTAATATTGATTTTTATCTTATTAAAAATCTATGTTGTTGTAAGGGCATTATTAGAAAATAAGATGTTATTATCACTTGTGATCTAATGATACCAAACATTAGAATGAGAATGAGATTTTTATTCTAACTTCATTCTACAAACGCACCCAAACAAGAGAATGAGAATGGTCATTCCATTCTCACATATATCCTATTCCGTTCATTCTTTTATCCCATTATCATTTGAGTCCATTCCCGCGTACCAAACGAGGCGTTATAGAAAAAGATCAACAAGCACAATATCTGCAATCTCCTTTGAATGAATCCACTGGTGCTCTATCTTTGAGTCCGAAATCTATTGATAACTGTTTATAATTATTGTTCTACAATCAAATTTTATATTTTTTTTCTCCAAGAAGAACAAAATCTTTTTATACATGAAAACACTAGTTGAAATAAACTAAATAAATTCACCATTGATTTTGTGCAAAGTTGAATTAACTAGTTGATATCAGAAACTATGAAGATGAAACTAACACAACGATGCTTCTCACAATAATATATATTATTAGCTTCTCATATTAACTTTTTCATTATTATTATTATTATTATTTGATAAAGATCGACTATACTCAAAATCTATTTCACAAATTTGGCACAACACTGTAAACTTTTAATAATATAATTATGGTAAAGTTAGATTAAAAAATAATCTAATCGTACTAATTTTATGAGACTCAAACCTTTTATCTATTCTATTACATAAACTAGATCATAACTTTAGTGGAAATTTCTCAATTGACACATTTAGGTAGACAAATTAATTTTTCTACAATATATATTTGGATATCTAATAACCAACACAAATTATTATATTTATGCCATGAAACTACTAAAAAGGCAAGAAAAATGGAGAAGGATAATGATAAAAGAGGAAAAGAAAAGAAATTAAAGAAAGACTGGGGTCCAAATTGAAGTTTCATTGCAACTATTAAATTTACAAGGGCATGGATGCAAATAGTCAACCTCTTCTCTCTATAAAATACAACCGCTAGAGGCGAGAGAGGGGAAAAGGAAAGAAACAACAAAGAACAAATAAGAAACCGGTAGCGTGAATGTTAAATTGAATTTCCCCCAATTCTCTTCTCTTTCCCCCAAATCTCAAACCCTAATTTCACACGGAACCCTAATTCTGAAGCCACAAAAGAAAAGTTACGATCTTGCAACAGCAATTCGTTGATCGGAAATTGGAAGGTAAAAGTTTGCCGTCCGATTTAATCCAAAACATGTTTATTTTCTGTTGATTGAACGGATCGCAGGAGATGATTATGATCTGAACTTTTACGCATTAAAATTTGATTGTTTGATTGGTTTTTTTAACGAAGATGCAAAATTTGTTCATTTTGCTTGTGTTCTGGGGCTCTGGATGATGCTTAATGTTGATCGTGTTGGCTTGGTTGGGGATATTGGGATTATTGATGTTTTTAATTGGTAATTTGATGATTTTAATTGATTATGAGTTGCTTTAGTAATAAAACACTTTAATTCCTGTTTTTATTTACAAGCTAGAGAATTATTGATGTTTTTGGTTTCGCATAAACACCTTATCTCATAATTTTACTGCCTTCTGATCTTGGTTTTGGATGGAAAATGAAGTAAATTGTTCCGTCCATATGAAAAATGATTACCCATTTCACATGTTTGGAGAAGAGATCTTCGAATGAAAAGAATTAAAATTTCGGAGTATTTAGCACTTCTAGTTTCCTTCTTGAACATCCTCTCTCTTTTCTTCTTTATAGATTGCTAGATTCTCTATATTTTACTCCATTATCTCTGTGTGAAGCATCCGCTGTAACATTTGATTTTTATTGGAATAGCGACGAGTTGGGTGACTAAATTCTTGAGCCTCTGATACTAGGACAGAAGATATTTCATAAAAACTTTCTAATAAAAATTCTATGCAATAAGTTAAGGAAGCAAGCAACTCATCCTAGATGTACTTATTTTTGCAGTAGTTGAGATATATAGCATTAGACTTTGAGGTCTGTAACCGATTCCAAGTTATGCATGATGGCTGCATGTTCTGTTATCAGATTCATGATTTTCGAAGTCCAATGTAGCGATCCTAGTGTCTTGACTTTTTATACACAAGGACTAGATGTTTATAACTTATTAGGAGAAAAAGATGTATTCTTTTCTTATGGCAGCTATATAACATTTACGGTAGCCAATATTAGTTAACCTATGAGTTTTTGAGTAGGTCTCCAATTAATAATCTCTATGATGAATCTTCACCTTGGCAATGACTATAATGTTTTTACCTGTTCTCCTTGTTGTCCTCAGTAACTACCATATGTGCAACTACAGAAATTGTTATTTCATCCTGAAAAGGTGCTTCAGATGCTTTTTAAACTGTATGCATCATGATTTGTAGTATATTGCATTGAGAACTTTAAGTTGCCTGGCAAGATCCCATACTCACCTCGGATCTTGATGTACACTTTTTTGAACTTTTGGCGCCTGAATTTACTTGATATTTTTACTTCCATACTTTCCAACCGACATATCTTAGTATTATGTGCTGTATTACATGTTATTTGGTAATTTCAAATCCTCCAATATTGTTTTCTCCAAAAGGTTTTAAGCTCTAGTAAACTTATGTCTATGAGAAAAAGCATATTTCACCTTGCTTTGTGTCTCTTTATATGAGCTTTATTTTTGATTTATTTCTAAGATATATCCTATATTTTCATACATCCCTTTTAGTTCTATTGGGCGCTATCAGTTGCTCACTCACCTTTTCTCATAATTCTTTCTTTGAGGTTTTCTATTGGAGTTCAAGCCTTACTATGATGCTAAGGAGATTTGTCTGTTCTATGAGTCATATAGTCTCAATCAGTTTGACATTCCTTGTCACAAAGGGGGAAACATTGAGTTGTTGATATTGTAAGTGTACAACAGACAACTTGTTTGTTTCTTCCGGATTGTTTATACTGATATTCTTGTCACTGGTAAATCTACTAAGGTCAGTATGATCTTGATATTGAGGCCTATACATTCTTCAACTTCTTTGAAGCTACGTCATGGATATCTGGAATTTGAGTATAATTTGATGTGCTTGGTGTATACCGTCTCTCAAAGTACATTTAATGATAGATCTTTCCTTTTTTCTATAAAGAAACATTTATCTTTTGCTTTGAACCATGTGAAAATGTGATAATCTCAAAGTGCAACATTCTATGTCCGAAGCAAAGCCCCTATTGTTCATAACTTGCTTGATAAGAGATTAACGTTGAAGTTAATGGCCAACTGCAAAACTTTCTCGAGTTCGTTCTGGGCGCATCCTTCGCTAACATATAGCTCACTTCCATTGCTGGCCTTATAGTCCTGGGCAATGATTCCGAGATAATGATGAACATAGTGACCATCCTTTTATTCAACTTTGTTCAGCTTATCTGGCTTGAGAGGTTCTATCTTGAAGTAGACTTTAAATTGCTTGGAAGCATAAAGAATTCTCTAGGAGTACAGTAAATTCTTTCGGGCTGTTTGCTATATCACATGATTATACCCACTGCACGCTTCCTTCATTATTCTTGTGTTTTCTCCTCTCATCAGCATTTTATGATCCTTTCATTGCACAACTTAGTGTGGGCAGTATTTAAGTCTTCTACTCCTGCATCAGGCTGAAGCATCTTTACCATTTTAGAGGTGAAAATCTTATATTTCTTTGTCATTTTGTTGTTCTTTTTCCTCCTAGGTTTCAGTACTCCCCTTTTGTTGTTTTGTTCCATTTTTACGAAGTTATTTTGTACTGAGTTAATTAGTTAATGTTGTAAGGACCTATTTGTAAGAGTGCATTAATATAAAAGAGGTACCTCTATGTGAGAGAAGGTAACCCTAATTTCCAACCCTAAAGTCTACATGGTATCAGAGCTGCTGGAGATCTATGTGGCGGCTCCAAAGATCTAGCCGGATAACTCATCTCCAAAGATCGAGCTCCCCTCCGCTGATTCTAATACTTCTCCCG